CGTCGTTCTGTTTTGCTTCAGTTACCGACTGTAATCGCTGAAGCGGACCGTAAATTAAGCGATTCATCCTTGATAATATCAATTTTGGCAAGTTATCTAACACAGAACGGCGGAAGTCTGGGTGATGTGATTGAACTGTACCCCGAGCAGAGGACTATTGCGATGGAAACTGGAAAAGAAATAATCAGTCATCCAAATATGTATGAAATCATGAGAGCAAGGGACCTGTCGAAAAAGCAGCAGGAAGATGCCAGGTCGTTCATTCTTAAAGCGACAGAGTTTGTTCCTCAGTACGCCGAACCTATTAGAATCATGCAGCCATTCACTGTGATTCATGCGCTCTGGTTCTCCAGCTGCGTAGTTGGCAATTTTTCCAGTTGTTCTGACCAGTGCTGCATCCCCCAATAGTCTACTGGCGATTATGACATTCACTGCGATTTCGAAAAGGATTTCCCGAAAAAAGCACTCGGCAGGGCTTTCATTTAGTCGCACCCGCGAAAAGCAAGTGAAAATTGCAAAAGGAGCTAAAGGCCGACGAAAAGAAATTGGCGGCTGAAGCCTTGGCGGTTTAGGCTGCGGAATCTTTGTCAGTGGGAGCTAAAAAGTGTGCGCTGCATATTGTAGAAGCGCCAGACAGCATGTAGTTGTATGTTACATGAGGCATACGTATAAGTATGAAAGCTCCAGTTGCTGAGTGGGGCACTGGAATTGGTAATGTAGTGGACAACATGTCACGATTCGGAGGATTCAGAGATATCGATAGTGAGGTAGATCTCATATGCAAAAAGGAGATCCATTTGCGACAGTGCTGTTGTTATTTTCTGAGCACCACCACTTCGTTACGAATGCTACCAGGACGGGATACACTGCAGACTTGAAGGCTGTCAAGAACATACACAAACTATTAGATAAGAATGTTTTTCTTTTAACTGGTTGTGTTCAGATAACTGTTTTTTCAGGATAGAGCAGAAATGGCGCAAGTGGGTAGATGAACATTTTATCCATCTAATAGTACCGAATGTATATCGATCATGGAACGAATGCATTCAGATGTTCCGGTGGTTTGGTGAGGCCGGCCAGTGGGATAAGGTAGTTCCTGCATGGGAGCGCTACACCACAATTTATCTTGGTTCCGTTGCTATGTATTTTCTATCGAAAAAATTGCGAAAAAAGTATAT